TCGACAGGCCGTGGATTATCAGACAACGGACGAGTTTTCTGCAACAAAATCCAGAGTTTCGAGGACTCTAGATTGGTTTCCATTTATCTACTGGACTTTCATGGTCAATGATCTCTGCACTTTCTACGCATCGTCCTAGATGTGTTCCGCGGCTTTCTGAATGGGATTTTCTGTCCTCGATGATGGAGATGAACCAGTAATTTGGGTTTGATTGAATGATGCCGCGTCGATGCTGGACTATTGCGTTAATTTTGTGATTATGATGGGAACTAAGTGATGAATGGATATGTGGCGAGGATGTATCGATTCTGGAGGATTTTTGTGTTTATTTGAGAATCGTGGACATTGGTTTGCTGAACATTGAATTGATTATAGTATTTTTTTTATCGACCGCTTGACATTGAATCGTTAGATAAGCAAATAATCGAGTGTAGAATAAACAGTTGAACGTAATACTTAATCCAGGAAAGGAGAGAAATGTAATTTTTTAACTATTAATCGCGGTGGTCTTTGATTTGTAATTTAAGTGGTTAGATTATCTGATGAATAATCGATTACATAGCTCTTGTTAGAAAAAAATAGGATTTTTATAACTATTATTCCTGGAGTGTTTAAAGTATACTCGTACACGTTTCACTATCTTATCTTCTAGTAATGTAGAAGCGTGCAATATCTTGTTACTGCTACGCCAAGTTACCTTGATTTTGCGCACAACTAAACAGTTGCCAACAAGCAGCTCGCCAGACGATTATTAAACATTTTTGTACCTCGCCACGCGTCCTATTATCCAGGCTACCATACGCTACAGAAGTGACTAACGTCTTCTTCCATTGTAATTAAAACAACAAGCGTGGAAGTGAAAAGTGAAAACTGGTACAGCTTTCCCGAGAAAGTTAAGTTTGTTTATTCACTCACGAGTGAAAATTGTTCCTGTAAATAAGTGTCCGATGAACGTACTAAAATCTTGCGTTTGGTATCACGCTTCTACAGTGCAATTTCCATTAAATGGAATAAAGTAAATTCGAATACATTCAGAATACAATGAACTCGAACGAAATTCCCGGGAATTAGTTCCAGTGTATAAATCAGAGCGCTTTGAAATGTAAAATGGAAGCCAATCCGGGCAAATCTCCTTTTTCAACGGCAGAGAAACTATTCTATACTGATTCGAATTTAATTGCAGCCTAATGTTTAAGCGATTTCGCACGTTGTAACTTAAGATTTATATGTGACACAGGGAAAATCTTGGGAGCAGAGGATCCCGGCGGTAGCAAGGGTTTATTGAAGTGGAAAGGCGTGATGTTCGCTCCGGATGATGGAATAGATAAAGCTGAGAATGAAGAGGAAAAAGTCGCGAAAGACACCACGGATTCAGCTATCCCCGACGAAGAACTTGAACCAGAAATCGAGGTAGAATTTTCGTTTCTGCGATGAATCGTTAATAAATGCATTCGTCATTTGTAGATCATGATTTACTCGCTTTGTCATCACTTTAATCACAAATCATGATTTGTCAATTCGTTCTTTCTGTCGAATATTAAAATTGATGAAAACTGTTATACTTACTTTTTCATACTCAGAAATGAATTTTAGAATGTTTTACCTGTGAGTAGTTTTTAGACTGTCTTAGAAGAAGCAACAAAAAATATTATAAATATCATTCTTTGTATCTGCTTTATATCAATTGTAATTATTATTCTTGCTAAAGGTGATCATGGTAGAGCTGACACGTGGATGGAATAGCCGACTAGGTTTCAGTTTGCAGTCGGAAGGAAATCATACAGTTATATCGGTCGTGCATCCTAACAGCGTCGCTGCTAAAGATGGGAGATTGAAACAGGGTGATATGCTTCTAATGGTATGTTCCATTCTTGCTACTATAATCAATGATTCATAAGACATAAATTGATCGAATTATGATTAGTAAAAGAAAACATATTATTAAATTAAAAAACACAAATTATGATTAACCTTCTATGGGCTGAATTTTTTTCATGATCAAAAAATGTATGTATAAAATTAATAAATATTAATCTGTAAATGCAAATTAACAATATATTCAATAGTTTTAATAACTGTATTAAAACGAATATACCTCGTAATTTTAAAATTACAATAACGTTAAACTTTCGCTTCTGAGTGTATAAAAGTTTATATTAATTAATTACTTAATTTTATTTACCACTTTGCTATGCAAAATGAAATAAATTAACAAAATACCAATATATTGGTACGTGACTTCAAAGTCACTTGGGCCTATGGAGGGTTAAATTTAAGATATTGTCGTTCACTTTAGAAAAAGACTCTGCAAGACACTTTTTCTTTCGATCGGTCGATGTATTTATTTATGTCTTTTCCGCTACAGGTAAACGAGGAAGGGGTGAGAAACATGCCGACCGCGGATATAATAGATCTGCTACGCAAAATCCGGGGATCCATAGGCATCACGGTTATGAGACAAAGTAAAAAGGAAAATGTAACGTGACGCTAGTCAGGTGTATAATAGAAGAACCAGCTAATAAAAGAAAGTGCGTTTTTTCTTTGAAAAACGTGACATCGATCCACGAATATCGCTCTAAGGTAAAAACCCCGTTGATCCTCGTTTCGTTCAATGGAAGAACGATGCGAGAACAAAGATAACTTGTTTCGTAATTATACAGTCGACGTGTTAACGGTGTGCAATATAAAGTTTCATGTGACTAGATCTGTACGTAGAGTCTATGAGAAACGAAGCCTTAGACGCACTGTGGTGATTTAATCAGTTGTAACGAGCATCACCTTATGATCATCATTCGTGCAAATAACTAACATTTAATTGTTCAATAAGTTCGAGAAATTTCGTGTCAAGAATTTTTTTTTCCGAAATTTTCAATGATATTCAATCCATTGGGTATTCTTCGCTATCGATCACTATCATTTTTCAATACCATAGATATTTTGTAATCAATTTAATCAACTTAAATCGAGAAATTACTACTGACATTAAGCAAAAAGTTTTAATATAATTTCAACATAGGGAAATAGAAAGTATCAATTAATATATATGAAATATCCACGAACTCATTGAACAATCTAATAAATGCAAAATGAAGTGCAACTTCTCCAATTGGCGCATAATCGAGCGCATTCCCGAAGCTGCATTCGTCTTGACACTCCAACGTGTACGAAATTGAATTACTAGTACGTTGTAAAATGTATTGTTAATATAGCCGAATTAATGTTCAGCATGGTTTAATGGACATCCTTCGAGACGAACCGCGTTCGCAGTTCGTTTAAGGTAAAAAGACTGCTTTAAGAAGTAAACGAAAAAGTGCGAAAGCGAAAGACAAATGCATGGTTGCCATGTAGATATTTATTGGATGAATGTAAAATGCACATAATGCAAGTCTTTATTTTTACGTGATTCTTGTTGAGAAGTGTAAACGCTCGGTGTCTAAACATCAAAGAACGCTCGGCAATCGTAAGGTAGGATATTTTTATAAACCTACGCACCGAAAAATTTCTCGTTCAACGGGACTTAAAACCAATAAAAAAAAGAAGAAGATAGAATTCTATATATAACTATTGCAAAGACTTTATATATTCTCTGTCATGCGAGCGCGAAGAATGAAGACTATTTAAAACGATCCGAACGCCAATCCGCGGCGAGAAAATACTCTAAACGTACCAAAAACATTTTCTTTAGTTCAAAATTCAATTATCGAATTTAGGAAAATTCACCTATGGTTTTAGGTATTAGAAACGTATTGATATCGTTGCGTACCAATTTAACGAGAAGAAATACATATACGTAAACGCGTGAAGTTCCCACGGATTCGTTAGGAGTTACGAAGTAAAATATAAAAATCTTGTTATTCGAATTACGATTTATCTTGTTAGTGAACATTTCAATTGTACAATTGAAATACATATGAAGTTTTGAATCCTACGATTATATTCTTCCCGATCGAACGGAAATTGTTATTAGAACATTGTGCTAACTAAAAATTTTGTTGAATCCGAAGAAAGTGTTGCAATGTGATAATCTTTCGAAGGAAACAACGATGTGGGTCGACGAAAACTCATTCTAAATGTAATAGAGATAATAGGAAATTAATTATCTAATTCACGATGTTACTCCCATTCAATGATAACGAATATTCGTGTTACATGAATATTTCTCAAATTCGTCGACGAATTCGAATAATAAAAGCAATCGTTATCGAGCGCAATAAAAAGCGAAAGGGAAAGCTATATCGAGCCCCGTAATCAAAGTGTTAATCAAAATATCACGGAGAATACATGGAGAGGAGTGTGTTATCCTTATTACGTCGCTGAATCACTGCGCCTCTTGTAAATAGTTGTAACACAATTATTTTGTTTCTCTGTTTTCTTTTTAATGTTACGTTCCCAAAGTTTAAAAACAAGATCATAGCTCGAACACGTCGAACATATCGTCGCGAAATATGCCGCATACCTACACGTGTTCAGCGCGTATAATAACACGCGAACCATAAACTGTATTATAGTGTAACCCGCGACTTCGCCAATGTACAACAAGACGAAACACATTACAATCATGTTAATCGCGAAATTGATAGACTTCAAATGGTGTGCCATTTGAGAGGAAGTATGGCATTCGATCTACGAATCTTGGACTGCTGTAGCATTGTTAACTAGTGTTTCTTATCGTGACAAACGCTATTGCGTTACGTGTATTAACGATAATAGAGAAACTACTCGAAAAGCAATCATTAATCGCGTCTTGTTCGAAACCTTCGTAACGATGATTGCTAAGACCATTTCAATTTCCGCGTCAACCATGAAACCGTCGAAATTGCGACGTTGGAAAACCTTTTTTTTTGACGGAACGACGAATACGCGAACGCCCCGCGTAACTGCAGTTCCATTTCGAACTAGATATTTTCAGTGATTAAAGATTTTGTACATATCTCGTAGCATGCAGTATCTGATTTTTAATTTATAAAAGAACAAATTATGCACCATTTGATATCGGTTTATTTTCGGGAGTTGATACAACGTTAAATCAATCAGTGAATTCTTTGAAATCTCACGGTCGTGATGTAGAAGTTGCTCTCGGATAAGGAAGATTTAAAAAAGAAGAACATTTCTTGTGCTTCGCATTTGATTTTATTCAAAGTACGTGTAATATAACACTGAAAGTAGGCAAATACTATATTTTCTTCGGCTTATAAATTCTAAAAATACTATTGGTCTTCTTGTTGACTACTCTTTGAAGATTTGATTAAACTTTCATATATTACGATGAATAAACAGAAAGATATTCTTCTCGTAATTTTCTTTATCTTTCAACAAGTTTCATGGATTTCTATGCACAGGAAAAAATAGACTCGCTTGCAGTATATTTAAGAGTGTAGTAGACGTTGAGTAACTACCTCGCGCGATGCCATACCATACAGCAGTGGTTCTCAAACTTTTTATGCGTAACCCCTTCTCTTAAAAGCCTAACTACGAGTATAATCTGGCAAATAAATGAACTAAAAAATAATATAGCATAAATTATTGTCGCCTACAATTGAAAAAAAGGAAACCGGAAGTGTAAAATTCTATCAGGAGATAATAAACATATTTTTGAAAATAAATTTTATTTTTGGACTATAATAATTAAGGAACAAAACCAGAATGAATTATTTTCTGTATAAATATCTATGATTATATTTCAATATAAGATAATATAAAAATGATCTTTACGTGGCAACAATACAATTATTAATAGAAAAGAAATTAATATTTACTATAGTTTGTCTACCACATTATTATGTTATACTGATATTTTTCGATGCAATAATATACAAGGAAATAATAATAAACAATAACTATTTTCAACAAAAAAATTCCTACTTATTCAGCAGAACTCTACGAAAAGATATTTGAATGTAACCAAATTCCACGGTTTCGCAAAGAATGGTTTCAGAAACACTGCCAAATATGAGTAACACTTAATGCCAGAAAAATAATTGTTAGTAGAAGCCACGTACAGCTGTAGCAAAATTCATCTCTATAAAAATGTTACACTTGTATTTATTCACAGAAGAAAACACATAGTAATATAAATATATACTAAACCATCATCATAAGGTTGCAATAGACTAAAAAAAAAGAATTTTAAATAAAATGTTTCATGAATGTGATAGTCGTTCCATTAGAATGTTAGAAGCCTTAAAAGTTCTATGAAATAAAAAAAATTATATTTGAGTATGTTACATTGGTTATATGTGATAGATTCAAATATAATTTGTATATACATACACGCATATTGTACATGAAATTAAATGTATAAATGAAACCAAAGTGTATAAGTAATAAACTGCATAACAAAGACAAGTATTTTATGTGTATACAATATTAAAAATGACTATTTTAATGTTAAATTAGGCTTCTTATATTGTTGTTAATATCTATACATACATGATATGTAAACTGGTGTTTAACATCATTTGTCCATTGTTGATCCCTTTCCACTCAAATATTATAATGTATTAAATAAAATTCGGTGTCTTTGATACATAATTTTGTATTCCTTTCACTAATTTATTCATATAAGTTTTCTTTTTTTATTCAATAGAAATGAAAAACATACGAAACAACAAGACATTTATTACAAACTTTTTCAATTTTTTATTCAAATTACATTGTATAGATGTGTTCTAATATTAAATGCACAACGAAAGTTCTAGTGATAAAACTAATAAAGATATAATCATTCTATATTGAATAATATATATTATAATTTACTTCTTTTGTACTACAAAATATTAAAAAACTTAGTGTACATCATTTAAAATTATTCCAAACAAAATAGGAATACTAGACTCCAATGATAAACTGATTATTCAACTGTTTGAAACAGCATATACGTATATAGAAAGTTATATTATTATAAAATTATTGCTTAAATTAATCTATTTACACAAGTTTTTTAGTACAAGCCACAGGCTTTTTTCTAAAACACTGAAACAGTCTTGAGATAAAGTGAAAATCCATTTGTCAAAATATATACTTACATATAGTATACCAAAATATTTTTCAATTTTTTTTAACATTATTCTTGGCTCTTGTTCGAACGGACTTTCTTGAGATCGTTGTATCTTCGGTAATTGTCGTATTCAAGTTTCGATTTCTCAGTCGTGGTTTATTCACAGTTTCTTCAGCAGATTCATCAGTTTCACTAATGTATGGTTGTGAAACTTTCTTAATTTTCTTTTTTACACCAGAAACATTTTTATTATCATTTTGTGCTAAATCGCGGCTTCTCTTTCGAAACGAACGACTTCCACTACATTCAGGAGACGAACTTATATTTTCTTTCTCTATATTTGACGAATTTAATACGCTATTATTAAAAAATCCAGAATGAATAGAATGTAATTTACCTGTAAATAGAATTCTATGTATTTTAATAATTTATATAGAATTTTGACAAAAGAAAATTGCATACCACTACTAAATTTGTTATCAATACTATCATTACTTGATAAGTCATAATGAATATCTTGCAAAACAGATGCTGGCTTTTCATTATCTATCCCTTCTTGATCTGAAATACTGTTAGATTCAAAATCGTTCTGGTTTATAGTAACAGAATCTATCCTTCCCATTTCATCTTTTAAAAACAACTTTTCCTTCTTTTGTAATAATAATTTGTACTTTGAAGCATTGCGTGTATTTTTAGAATCATTCATTAACATATCCTTACTAGCAGTAACATCCAACATAGAGTGTACTTCTCTATGGGACATAGAAATATCACTAACTGTGCCTGAATTAACATCATCTTTTTCAGTTTTTAGATACAAACAATCAGTTCTATTAAATTCCGTTTCCGTAATATTATGCTCTTTATAAGTTGCCTCACATTCATCATTTCGAATATTACTATTGGAAGAAGAAAATTCAACATTGAGAAACTTCTGTGGTTCAGCACTAGAATATATTTGCAATGGACAAGTAGAATCTGAATCAGAATCCTGAATATATACATTGGACTTCATAGATGACAGATCAGTTTTATCAGTGTCATTTATTGAATCATCTAAACTGTCATTCTTTGCTTCATTTTTCTGTACACTGTTTTTGTTCTTTTCAAAACTTTCATTTAACAAATTACGTCTTACAGACGGATTTTTCTGAGGTTCAGAACGTTTAATTTTGTTAATTAAACTTTGAAAACTGTCTTTATGCATTTCCACTAGTAAGAAAAGTAAATATTGAAATGTTATATTAAGTGCAAGTAATTGGAAAATATAAACATATAAACTAAATTTTATAAACATGTAAACATATAAACTTACAATATTTCTTTCTCTCATCATCTATAATATTTTGTTCTGTATTTCTGTTAACTTGTAATTTCTGAAAAAATTCATAGAAATATTGTATAGTTACTCTAAGATATTGTAAGAAATATAGACTATCATATACTATTAAATGTAAGAAATGTGAAAAATATGAGGTATTTTCGACTGATTGCAAATAAAAACAACAAAAAAAACAAGTAATTACATTTAGAAATGAAGATGCCCTGTTATTTCTTTTTTCATGATTCTCTTCATCTTCGCATTGTTTAATTAAGTCAGAGATTGGTCTTGGATTTAATTTATCACATTCTGCATTATAAAGAATAATATATCTTTGCAAACGTGATTCCATAGTTTTACGATCTCCTTGTGATGACAAACCAAATTCTTTCAATTTCTTTTTCATCACAGCATCTTTCATCAAACTAAATACTAATTTTGCAATTGGCTGACGTTTTGAGTCCGCTCTGGAAAATAAATAACAGCCTTATCCTTTACATAATTTCAATGATATGACATAAACATAAATTCTATATTATTAGGTTGCCCCATAAGTTCATGCCACTTATTTTTCTACCATATAAAATAATATTTTATTAAATATAACATTTTTATAACTTCACAACCTGCCGTTCTTAAATACCTTCAACTGACTAAACTAAACCAGTTCAAAGTCATATATCTCTGTGATTACAAAATGTAACACAAAAAGTATTAACATACTATAACACAAACGTATGGGACAACCTAATATGTATTGTTACTATGTTATTACACTTACTTTACTTGTGAGTGATCTCTCTTTGCTTCTCTTTTTAAGCAATCATCAAGATGTCTATTTATATGTGCCTCTGAAATAGTAACTTTGCATACTGGACATATAACAACCTTGGTTTCTTCTGTACTTATTGAATTTGGCTGCTTTGTACTTTTAGGTGTAAATATTAAAGGTATTTTGCTTTTACCACTAGTGCTTGGACTATATAAATCCTTCTGACTTAAAGGTGATGCATTACTTTTAGAAATGATATTTTTATTAGTAATTACACTATCTTGTTTAATTGAAGGTGAAAACTTCTTTTCGCTAGTTGATTTTGGAGTATTTAAAATATTATCAGTCCTATTGCATGGTAGAAATTGCAGTGGAGCTTTCAAACATTTTTTTAGTTTATCCTTAATTTGCAAAAAGTGTGCTATAATTTCATCCAATACTTTATTTTTACGTAAATCCTTCTCAAAAGTTTCAGCAAAACAACTAGGACATTGTGTTTTATAATGCAAGTATTTTCTAATACACAGAGAACAATCTAAAATAAATCATATAAATAACCAATGAAAAGTTCTTTTAATATTACTGTATTAAATATAATTGAAACTTTCTCTTACAATTATGAGAACATGGTGTTATAACAGAGGTATCTATGTATTCATAGCATATACCACAAATCATCAAATCATCTATGTGCTACAAAAAATTATTATTGTATTTGTTATCATCATTACAAATATAAAAGAAATTAATGAAAAAATTCTGAATAATTACCTTTAATTGTATATATTCTGGAGGCCACATTATACGCTATTATTGCACATATACAAATTACAAATTAAAGGTTAGATTAAATCAACATATTTTTATACATGAAATAATGATGATCATGTGTTACTGTAAAATAAATGAATATGTTGTCAAAATACGTAATTATACATAAAATATACTAAGGATTAAGTAGAAATTGTAAAAATAAATATGTAAACATAATCTTTTCAAGTAACCGCTGTTTCGAAACTTATATACATAACTGGCACACGTAGTACAACGTACTACATAATAATTTTTATTAAACTTATTCATTAAGATTTGCAGGACTGTATTTATGTAACTGTATTTAAACAATTTGGTGAATATTTATAAAAAGGCAACAAATACATTAAAATGTATACAAATTTGTATTCGACGATATTTTGGTTGAAACCGGAAGTTACAGTTTACATAATTTTCAGATATTCGTATGGCAGAAGAACGAGCAACTAATACCATCATCACAAAGTAATTTATATTACACAATGGGTTTAATCCGGTTAGTACGTGAACTAAAATTTAAGGATGCAGAGTGGTTACGGTATTTGAATGACATTTTATATTTATAATAAAACTGAAATCTAATTTGGAGGTTATGTTATAGGTTTACGATAAAAGCTACCATTGTCGGTGGTGTAGTATATTATACCTGTCAAGAAGGTTTATGGTCAAAATCAACAGATACTGCTGAATTATATAAAAAATTATACACCAATATTGCTCCTTACGTTAAGCATAACATTCCAAAAGATATAATAGTTGAGGTAATGTAATATTTTTGTTATTATTTTACATTTGTATGTTATATCTATGAAATTATGTTTTATAATTTCTGTTTTAATGGATTTTAAATATCATATGTATTATTCAAAATATTAATTTCTAAAATATATTCTTATTTAGTTTAATCGTTTGCCAAACATTGACTGTATGGTAAATTGTTCAAAACAATACTGGAACAAAGGTGTTATGTCCTCAATGGAATTTATTTCTAATTTACCTAGCCATATACGCAATGGAACAACCACTGTTTCTGAAACTGTGCAAAAATATATGAAAGAACAAAGTTAAAAGGTGATCAATTAAATCATACATAATATTGCTAGTAGATTTATTCAAATTATATGGCAAATTTATTTTGTATATATCAATAATTTATCAATATATAGATTTATTTAACTATGTGTTCAATGATTACAAGATAAAGCGCTTTTTATAAAAGCATATTCATATATTATCAATAAAGATACATGAAAGAGATAAAATTTTTGTAGCTTTATTTATAAGCCATATTTGTTCCATATACCTATTTCTACGAGTGATATCATGAACAAATTTATGAATACTATATAATATGCAGTACATATTCTAACAAAATTTATTTGTTGTGTGAAATTGAATATGTTGAAATGCGTGTATTACTTTCTATTAACTCATTTGAATCTTATAATGTAAAGAATATGTACTATCACCGCATATAAAATTAATATAAAATTTTGTCACTCGCTTTCGGGGGTTTCAGAACCTCCTTACCATTTTCGTGTCATGCCCTCTTATATCGACTTAAGCTAGTTTTGCATAGCAGCGCCATAAGTGATAGGATTTAGAATTAAAAATATTGAAACGCAGATTTAAGTACGTACAGACATTGCAGCTTGTACACACTTTCCATATGTAGTATTGCATAGTTCAGTAGTTGATCGTTCGATTCAGGTAGAGTCCGCTAAGTGCATCGAGGCATTTTTGATGGTATCGGTATTTCAAACTTATTTATTACTTGATCAACTTCGATCATTTTGCTTGATTTTGCTTTTTATTTTCCTATTCACCGATCTTCGGATGTAGAGGGCAGAGCAAAACCTCTAATTTTTTATACAGTCGGTAATTCAGAACATATGACACCTAGTCCCATAAGCATGCAATGTCTATCCTATACCTCGTCTGTGCCTTATGCCTCGTCTCTGCGATAGTATAGACTTCCGCATTTGAAGTAATCTAAAATGGCGACGTTGTGTTACATTTATTGAGATATGTGATAAAACTACAGAAAATAGGGAATAGAGTGTAAAAATTAACTAAATAAAAAAAATACCAATATGCCTGCTCAAGAGCTTGCAGTTATACAGCCACCGGCTACCGAGGGCGAAGAAAATAATGCACCCTCATCACAGCCGATCGTAGGCATTATTTACCCTCCACCGGAGGTTAGAAGTATCCTTTATCAAATTGTTACTCATTTTAACATAATTTTTATTTCCAGATAATTTTTTGATAACACTTATAACAATGATGTCAGTTTCATCTATAAATGTGTACTTATATTTACATCATTCTTGTTAATTATGTAGAAATATACTTTGACCTTTACAATATAATTATTTTTAAAAACTGAAGAAAAATAGTAATTGTATCACAAAATTATCAAAAAACTTCTTTGCATATTGGTATTTATGTACTTTTCCTTATGTAAAAATTTAGACATTGTTGACAAGACAGCGAGTTTTGTGGCCAGAAATGGACCGGAATTTGAATCAAGAATCAGACAAAATGAACTTGGAAATCCAAAGTTTAACTTCTTGAATTTTGGTGATCCATATCATGCATATTATCAACACAAAGTAAAAGAGTTTAAAGAAGGAAAAGGTCAGGAGCCAACTGTGGGCCAAGGACTTGGAAAAGTTGTTAATCTTGCAGCACATCAAAAACAGCAAGAAATTTTAAAACAAGTTGAACAACCGTTTGTTCCGAAAGATCCACCCACAGAATTTGAATTTATTGCTGATCCACCTTCTATTTCAGCTTTAGATCTGTAGGTTACTTAATTTATTTATAGTGTTATTAGATAATAATAATCTATATAATTTGAATATTTTGTTTTTTATTCCAGAGATATCGTAAAATTAACAGCACAATTTGTAGCTCGTAATGGTCGACAGTTTCTAACTAATTTAATGAATAGAGAACAAAGAAACTTTCAATTTGACTTTTTGCGACCACAACATTCTTTGTTTCAATATTTCACAAAACTCTTAGAACAATATACGAAGGTAAAATGATAAACTTTTTACTCATACTTCAATAAAAATACATTTTAGTTACTTCTTTAATCAAATCTCAATTTGTAGGTGTTAATTCCACCTAAAGATCTGCTACCCCGTCTTCGAGATGAAGCAGCAAATATGGACAAAATATTAGAGCAAGTTAAATATCGTGCTGAGTGGTTAAAATATCAAGAAGCTCAGAGGCGTAAAGAAGAAGAAGAATTAGAACGGGAAAGAGTTGCTTATGCTCAAATTGATTGGCACGATTTTGTTGTAGTAGAAACTGTTGATTATCAACAGTTTGAAGTTGGGAATTTTCCAGCGCCGACAACTCCAGATGAAGTTGGTGCTCGAGTACTCATGCAGGTAATAATAGATTGACATTTGATAGAACAGTGTAGATCTTATATTATACTGATGATCTTTTAAATTTTTAGGAAAGAATAGAAGAAGGTGAAGATGTAGAAATGCAAATCGACAGTGAAGGAGAAGATGAGATGCAGAATCGTACAGAAGGAGAAAAAGATCGCGCGAAAGATAACAATCAAGTAGGTACACTGTATATAAGATTTTTTGTATATTTTTATATACATCATTTACATTTTAAGGTACAAGATATGGAAGAAGATTCAAGTGATGAAGATGATGTATCACCTCCAGGTGACACTCACAAATCAAAAGAATCGAAACCACGCGATAGTAATAATATGCAGCCTCCACCATTACCTCCTACACCAGGAAATGTTGTAGTAAAGAAAGGTTATGATCCTAAACAGCATGGTAAGTAACAGATATAATAATGTACATGTTGTAAGATTCTGTCAAATGATAACATATTAATGTTTATAGCAAGTAAAACAGCGCGTCCTGTTGCTCCTGACGAATATCTTATATCACCAATTACTGGAGAACGTATACCAGCGAGTAAAGTTCAAGAACACATGCGTATTGGGCTGTTGGATCCACGCTGGGTGGAACAAAGAGATAAACACCTTGATAAGTTGGCACAAGAAACAGTATTTGCTCCAGGTACTGCGATTGAAGCCAGCTTGAAACAACTAGCCGAAAGACGTACGGATATTTTTGGTGTGGGCGATGAGGAAACTGCTATTGGTAAGAAGATTGGTGAAGAAGACAAAAAGAAAGATGACAAAGTTACATGGGATGGACACACATCGAGTGTCGAAGCAGCGACGAGAGCTGCTAGAGCAAATATCACTTTGGAAGATCAGATCCATCAAATACATAAAGTTAAAGGACTCCTTCCTGATGAGGAGAAAGAGAAAATCGGGCCGAAGCCCGCAAATCGTGCAGCAGAATTATCACATATGGCAGCAGCTGCTTCAAAACCTCAAGCTACGTTGAAGGCACCACCAAAACCACCAGCACCGAAACCGGTACCAGTTCCAACGCAACCACCACCACCGCCAACCATGAGTATGCCTACTATGGGTATTCCTCAGCCAATGATGCCACAAGCACCGATGATGATGATGGCGCCTATGCCTCCGATACGACCACCGCCACTAATGAGTAAATACAATTTTTAATTGCACTTAACCCTCTTACAATACAGTACTTTGAAAATATGCTTTATAAAACGGTTTCCATATAACGTAATGTAGTGTTTTTGGACAACCCTCATATAGTTATAGTAAAAGATGTTTTATTATGTATTTTTTTCCTCTAGCACCCGCAATGTCACCATTTATGCCAACTCCACCACCTATGCAGCCGCCAATGGCATCTGCTGTAAGTACTTATACGGTAAAATAATATTTTATCGTTATTTAGAAATAAACAACGTATTTCACCATCTTTCAGATGGGATTGAAACATCCTACTGAGCCTATGGAAGAAGAACCACAGGCCAAGAAATTAAGAACAGAAGATTCGTTAATACCTGAACAGCAATTCTTAGCTAGAAATAAGGTATTAATATTGCTTATTAATGATTAGTACAATGTTTTTTAAAACAAGGTATAAAATTACATGTTTTCAATTTACAGGGTCCTGTACATGTGAACATAGCAGTACCAATGATGACAGAAAAGGCAGAATGGAAGTTGAACGGACAGACATTAAATATTACTTTGCAAGTGAGCGATACGGTAGCGACAATGAAAGCTCTTATACACGAGCAAACTGGTATGCCTCCTGGCAAACAAAAATTGCAGTATGAGGTAAGAAGAATTACATATATTTTTAAAGTTCTATATATTATGTTGCATTCAACAATGAATTGCTTCTTTTTTAGGGAATGTTTTTCAAAGACAGTAATACCCTTGCATATTATAATTTAACATCTGGCAATGTAATCAATCTTCTACCGAAAGAGAGAGGTGGTAGGAAGAAGTAAACCTAAAGAGCATATAATTAATTGCAATTTCTGCAGATTTTATGATTTAATCTATACTACACACACTGAAGAAAAATATACTGTAGCCTGGAAACAGGAATTATAATCTTTCAAGATGAATAAAAACATACCATTATCTAAACTAATTTAAGTTTTTATTATTCTTCACCATAGCCTACAGTTGTAATAAATTACGGTTTAATAAATTAATGGAATATAATAAAATTCATAAATATAAATATATAAAAGTAGTTTCCCGTAAGTTCAACTTTCATTTAAAAAATTGCACTTAGTTTTATCTTGTACTTTTATCCATAAGGCATCAGCAATTTATAGCTAATTAGAAGATGCAATGAAATATTAAAAGAGTTGTTGCAAAACATAATCTTCATATATTTATAGTGTATACCTCTACCCCAAGTGTCTTTAGCAACTTCTCATTAAAACCATTTTTTCGTGTTTTCAAGAAAAGATATTCCTAACAATTTTACTTATACTTCTAATATCATTGTTCAGATTCATAAAATTCATTGAAACTTCAATATTTTTCATTATAAAAAGCAAGCTTCTAAAATTCGTTTAAAAAACGCCGTAAAAAATTTATCACGCACCAGATTATAATTAAATACATAATCGATTTCCTATTTCCTACTGTATATTATGCAATGTGAAGGCCTCGTTAGAATAACCACTTTTCTTGCGGCGTATGTATAGAATTTACATACATTAATTTGTACTTGCTTTCTTTGTAATTTGCTCCACTATCTTTCGATAACGGAGAACCATAGATCTATATATCTGGAATGAAGCATACAATTAAATGTAAATTACCTGATACAGGAACGAACAAGATTTTTTAATTAATTCTGTTAACGCTTAATGTTTGCAACTATTGTTTTCAAAATCTTTTGTTACTTACTGAATCTGCATCATCATAAGGACGACATACGAGTCTCGGCTCAGGCAAGCAGCGTGTTATTTCATCGAAAGTGCATTCGTTTCGAAATAAAGCGTACTTTGCTAGGTAAGCTGCACCCATCATAGCTGAATTAGCCATTTCCTGTGCGTTTTAATTATAACTTAACAGTAAAAACAACCAAAACGAAAATTTCTCACCCAATTCATATTTCATACAAAAAGAAACAAGTTATTACCGATGTGTACACTGGTGAATTGAAAACGTCAGAGAGTACTTGCAATATTGCCTTGTTTGTGGAGGCACCCCCTGTCGCAATGATGCGGGTGTCAGGACCTGGGAATCACCAATGAAGTATTACATTTGGAAGATAACAAAAATGTTATTCTATCGTTCTTACCGATAACAAAACCAAAGTCCTCCGCATGTGCTCTTTTTGCGACGAATTGTCCCTCGATTAGGGCTCTAACTTCGACCTCTTTCGAGCTGTATCGTGATATTTCATCATTGGCTTTATTGAATCTATGGTCACCGATGATGAAAGGCAAAATTTCTTGTGCGTCGAAATATAGAGCTAAATTCCCAAAATTACCGCGCGGAGTACTCTCCAATAGTTCATTAAAAATTTGCCAACATCCTTGTGCTGCGCTATCGCGAATTCTTTCACGCGTCAGAGATCCATTCTTAAAACTTAAAAAATGTTCGATTATTTTTACAAATTATTTATATATTCATTGGGTTCATCGAGATTTTCGCTCTTCTTTCATTTATGCAGTACATTTAATAACGTATTAATTATTCTTTAACCAATACTTCTTCAAGTAATGTCTTGAAAATTGTATATCATAAATTATTTATATTATTGAATTACAAAGCACAAAAAACTTACCATAATAGCGCCATATAAGCATTTTCATCGAGAGGATTACAGAACACGTGACCCTCCAAAGCAGCTTTTGGCTTGTTTAACCATAAAAATAGAGTATCACTCGTTCCTAAGCTACAAGCGATATCTCCATCCTTCAATCTCATTCCTGCAAATTATTAAACAACCGCAGAATATTTTTAATTTCACGAAAATAAATGAGACATATTGACCAAGTTGGATTACTCGGAAAACGCCGCTATATAACAGTTTCGATAAATATTCAATTAAGTGTACGAACATATGAGAGCGAAAAAGATAGAATTTAAATTGCAATTGAATCCAAAAATAATTCTCTACATACCTTATTAAAATTAACGATAAAATATGTATCCTGTAACTCGGAAATCTCTGCTAACAATAATTTACAGTGTAGATGAAAAATCTCATTAATCATTTCGCATAAAATTGAAAGTTCAGCAATTTGATGTGTATATACACGGAGAAGTGAATATTCATGAGCGGCTGAATACGTGGAATTCAAGCTCATCGTCAGGAAGAGAAGTAGTGCGAATAAATTTAATATCTTCAGATGGAGAAAAGGGAATATTTTTGCGATGAGTGTAAAATTACCACTTCGACTATGCTTACCTATTAGGGAACCAGAATTGTCGCCTGTGAAGCCAATTATTCTACATGCCTCGTCGAAGCCAAATCGTTCTACGAAATAGGACGAAATCGGCCCAATGTCGTTACAAGTGGGAACAGGTTTTCCGAGTTTTTCCCTTAAGTCAGGTCCGCAGGCCTGAACAAACGAAATTGTTCAAATAAATCGAAGACACTGCATGAATTATCATTTGTCATTGACGTTGATTCAACATTTTCAAAGATTACTGAATTAATGATAACGATACAGGAATACCTCCAAAAGTACATCGTCCCAATCTTTTGTGTGGATGTTCAATAAATTCATTCCAGATCCATCGGACCAATCAATGGGCGCAAAATCGCCCAGAAACAAGGATGCGAGAAAGCTACTAATCAAAGAGATTCTCTGAAAGTTACAAGGAAATCAGTTAAATATAAAAGATACAGAATATTCACTTGGTGACAAAGAATGAAGGTTGTAGAATTTTGTATATATGTACATGTGTAATGTCGCTCTACAGGTATTCTTGCAAATGGAGACAGAACTGCGTCTACGAGAGCATTATTTCAAAAGGAATACTGTATAGTTAAATACTATACAATTGTTATAAAACAAAGAAAAATTAATTGCTAATAAGATCATTCTTATTATTTTTTCGTTATTATTTCGTGTCTATGATTAGTTTCTACGACACAGCACCAAGCGATAGAAAATATTAATCTCACGTGTCCACATGAAAATAACATATCTACAGTAGATCTTAGGCCTGCGTTGTCTTCAGAATTTATTTCTATGAGCTGTACTATTGAGAATTCGGATACAAATTTGTTTAAAAGTAATATTGCTCCAATGGTTATTAAAGTAGTACTTAGAAGTCAATGTAATGAATTTTTTTTCAAGTGGACACAAAGTGTAAAGAAATATTGTAAACAAATAGTTATTCGTTTTTATGGCACACGCGTCAACTCGAGTACTCGTGTTAATGCAATAATCATCGGACGTCACATAAAACTCATACAAATTCTGTACCAACATATCCACACATATCTCGAATACCTCGATCGATTGACGTTCTCATTTTTTCAATGAAGCCAGGAGTGTTTAGTAGTTATACCTCAGTGTTGCTGTAGGCTTCGGGCCTCCTGCGTGCTATTTTTGCTATTTGAGGTCCTGAGAATCTCTCGTACGCCCGAGATCCCGTTATCTCCGTTAATTTCTGCAACCACATTCGACGATACCGCATCAAAATAATTGATTACCTCATTAATTAATTATGAATCAGTCTTACTGATTTCTGCCATATTTTTTATTTTTGTTACGCGTCGTGCTAAAATATTATGTACCGTGTTCCCCGCGACTCAGTATGCTCGTTCAATATCCAAAAATAAAATGAAATTGTCATTAAAACGGAAATTCATGAATGGTTTATTGAACAATATTTAATGTCTTTAAGACGATGATAATTTCCAAGCAATATAAATATGCGATACTGGAAATATTTTTCTGAAAGAATTTTATTAAGAACTGAGAAAGCTATAAATAAATGTGTAACAATATTCTCTATGTTTAACAACGTCAATAATAATGTTTTCAATCGAACTTCTTTATTCCAGTTCTTGTAGCGATCAAGTTAATTCATTTGTTTAAATACTTTTCGCCAGAAGCATCTTCATCGTCGATTCAGCCCAATAAAATCAATGAAATATTCGATTAATTGTGCAAAGGTCAGGACCAGGCGAATGTTCCTTGACGTCTGTCCGACTAGAAACTGACGGGTCTAAAAATATCGTGCGGGTAACGAAACGGTACCCCTTTACCCTTCTCTCAACTACCATTCCAGCCGTCGTATCGCGTTAAAAAATATTTCGTATCGATACGATCGAGGATTTCGACAAAAAAAAGCAGAACGGCCATTGACGAAACTTGCAACGAATGTAAATTGCAAATTAATTCTTTGTCAACGATGAATATTCAGAGACAGTTACGTTTAAACCGAGCCCGAGAAATGGCACGTGTATGGTTTCGCGAATTTCTCATCTTTGATACTCGATTGATTCGATGTTTGTCCTGGCGAAAAATGTTCAGTTGACAATCAACTGAACGGTAACATGAATTATTTATGAAATTGGCAACAGTGTTGATAAATAATATTATGAAATAGCTGTGAAAAGAAAGAAAATGTGAAAGATCAATATAATTAGACAAGGTCTTAAAAAAGTGATACGTATTTTTCTTTATTCATAGAAAGTACAGTGATCCATTGTCGAGTAAAGTTTCAGCATGACGTTTTCCACTATCTTGCAATGTTTTTATCGAACGAAAGAACGTGAAGATATACTTTACGTAAAACAAAAGTTTCGCTTTGGCAACTTAATTATTTGAAATGGTAAGCAGATATTGTCATTGGTTTGAAGAAGAAGATACTCACCTGAGGACCACCCACGATCTCCTCCAAAATGTGACATTCCTTAGTGGTACTGGAATCTATCCACACAGGTGACGGCGTCACTGAGAATGATGTGACGAGTTGCCCGTGCAAGAATTTCGCCGGATCCAGTTGCCGCAAGTGATTTCGACTGCCCTTGCCCCAGTAAACCGTGCCATGTTGCTGTGCAATTACCAGCGGAGATAACATTATTGTCGGGTCTTTTAAAACGTGGCAAAATCTTTGTGTTTGTAAGGGTTGGGAATTGCGAAATTTTCATCGATACTGACCCGGACAAAAAAAACGATTGCAAATGGTAATATTCTTACAATAGCAATTAACAAGAATAGAAAACAATGAAGTGACATTAAGATTTTAATCGAGCTTCAATACTCGTAATTGTTACAATATTTTGTAACAAAAAATGATTGTTTTTCGTACAAAGATAAGTAAACGATTATGGAGTATAGAGTTGTATAAAAGTCAGAAACAAACTTATACATTTTGTATCATGTTTTGTAAAGCTTGTCGTTCATAGCATATATATCTTAGAGTTTTTGTGTTGCTGCGATCTTTTTTTACCTGTGCGCATCCGGAAATAGCGGCCACTTTGCTAAAATCAACGCCACAGACGCGTAATTTATCAAGGATCATGTCCAAAGCCTTAACCCACATCAACGTGGGAGTGACCACCACGTGTGGCTCATCTTTCTTTTGAATAACCCCGCCATATGTTCTAAAAATGATTAAGTGTTTGTTAATAGGCTTTTGTGCTGTAACTATTCTTCTTATGCTTGTTCAAGAATAATTATGAAACAGTAAGCATTATTAATTTTTATTCGTTGCATTACTATGTTACATAAATAATATATAAAATCAAACAAGTACATGCAATTTTCGTTTAGTACCAATCAAAATAATATCTGATTTGTTCAACGCATTAACATCTTATTGGAAGTTAACAACAAACATACCTAAACTCCGGCAGATCATTGTCGAATTGCACGCTGGTTTCGCAGAGAACGCTGAGATCATTATCAACCACCACCGCTTTCAACTACAACGGTCAAAAATATCAGTTAATCACTGTTTACGTCATTAAATTCGTATTACAGCGATCTTTGATTTATTAGCCGCAGCTCGAATAAATTACGTGTAACGAAGCTGCCCCGACGAGAAAAACAAATCTACCTGCGGTGGTCGATCGAGGGCCGTCTACCTACAGCGTATTCTAAATTTAATTTGAAAACTTGAAATTCGGAACGTTATATTCCCGAAAACCGTTGGATGAATATGTGAACAATTGTATCGCGACCGCCGGACATGCAGTTCCCCATGTGTCTCTAAATATGCAATCGTTTACGTTTAATCAAATAAGAAACATGAAATATATCGACGTTCGTAATCTCTCGGCGTTATGCTAAACCGTTGATCCTTTTTAATCGATGAGTTATGCTCGGATTCGTAGAATTAATGGTTAAACGAAACTCGTATTCTACGAGAATTAATCGCTTCCGATTTTAATTATTCGAGCACCTTTTAATTTTAGCTTTCGAACCGCGCGACCGGGAAGAACATTTGTATCGCGACACTTCTCTAGCATTAAATTTTTAAAGAAGTTTTTCATGTTTCTCTACATTTTAGAAAAGATACAGAGATCTCGGAGATAAAGAGATCTCGGAAACAACGTTACAGCGAAGTAAAAGTGGAAGGAAAAATATGAATTTTAAATTGATTTTGTGATACTTTCACAGGTGTTCCTCGATGGCAATCGAAAATATGTACTATGAAAGGATTAATTATCTCATCTCCGCTTGCATTTGATCCTCCGTGTTTTTCCTGCCGAAAAGATAGTTTTCTTTTGCGCGTATTCTTCCTCCGCTCCGGTGTTATCACCGTGTTAGATAATTGTGTGACCTAGCGCGCACAAGTTACACGCCTCGAAACACTTATATCAATCGCCGAAGATATGTTTTCATTTCTCAGAGATGTAAGCGAGTTGCAGTTAACTGTAGCGTACGATTATGCATTAAAATTACCATTATTTGTTTTACTTGAATTAATACTATAAAATTGATTTTTTAGAAAATAACGGTTTCCTGGCCTACTTTAAGTAGGTGCTCAATCGTATTTGTGAATATAATAAGATTAATTTCAAAAATTTAGATTAAATAAGTGATTAAATAAAAATTGGTTTAAGACGTATCAGTATTTATGGATAAAATTATAAATTCAAAGATTTTGTCATTCATAATTTTTTAATGTCTAAAAAGAATAAAATTAAGAATAAAATTATCATCAGAAGTCCATTCATTGTTTTTTATCGTCGAAAACACTATATTTCCAAATGCGTTTAAAAACAAAGGGTTGCGCAATCAGATGAGCCTGATACACACGACGAAGCTACGGCGAACGATTGCGAATATTTACTAAAATAGATAAGAGCATTTCGTAACTC